GGGGGGGGGGTTAAATATATATTTGGAGATGAAAATAGGATGCTAGAAATAGCAAAAGTGAGTTGTCATAATGGGGAAAAATGAGCAGAGGTTCCTGGAGTTCCGTCCTGCTCTCCTATCATCCACATTCATGACTGAGTGTCTGGGCTTCCTGTGTCTAACAGACTAAGTTTCATTTAGATGCACAGAATGTTTAGACTTCTTCAGGACCTGTTCCCAGAGCTATGTGGCTAGGGTTGGTCCTCTGGTTTGGGGACAATATATCTCCCTGATGACTACAGGCAAAGGGTTTATCCTCCTATATAAAATAGGTATTAGGAAAGCTTTCATTTGTCTATGGCCCCTTGGTCATGTCAACATATACATTAACTGTTGAAAAGAGCAATTTGTCTAGAGATATTTGGAGCAGAAAGACATTTGCATATCTCATCGTGGATACCAACCAAAGACCAGGAGAGCAGGGAACAGAACCGCCTGTGTTAGAGTAGCATGTTCTAAGTAATAACCACAACCCCGCATCGGAACACCTGTTGGGTTTTACTCAGCAAACTTTTTTGGAATGCTTACAGTGGTACTGTCTCAATTGTTAGGACTTTGGTGTGTGTGTGTGTGTGTGTGTGTGTGTGTGTGTGTGTGTGTGTGTGTGTAAGAGCAAGAGGGGGTGAGCAAAGGAGAAAGAGAGGAGGGTGATGGGTAAGGAACAGCAGCTAAGTGATGGTGAGAACAGGAAACACTATCGAGCTTCTGGGAAATTTCCAGACTTGCCATCTGAAGATCCTGAGTCAGACCACTGCCGCCGAAGGTTGAGCACCTGAGTCAGTGTTTTCAAAGGAGGGATCCAATGTTACGGTTACAGGTGGTCCATGACCACACGACGATCATCGCACATGACAATAACAGGATGTAGAGGTCAAGAATGAGAAACTTGAATTGAAACCAGCCAGGCTGGTGATACACCCTGGTTAACCAAGAACCGGAGAGACTTTGGTGGGCCCAAGTCTTTGAGTGCCAATAGCAACACAGAACAGCAGGTGTGTTTCCTCTACATTTGCAAAAAATAATCCATTCGTAGGACACAGGGGAACAAGGGTGCATTTACAAGGAAGGTCATCAAAATGGCCCCAGGAGGAATGGCTAACCGCACTGGAAGTCGTGTGGCCACAGTAGTCAGAGTTAGTGGAGCTGAGAAAACTGTGGGTGAGAAAGAGGAAGGGAAGGATCTGGGTAAAGGGAGCTGTAAGTAAAGTTTAAAAGGCACTTGTGCCTATACTATATCCAAAAGGGAGAAATCCAAAGGGCACGATAGATTCTTTCCAAGAATCCTCAGGTAATGGACTGGTTGGTACATGGCTGACTCATGAAATATGATTTACCCTTTTTCACTTTTCTAGTTTGTTTCAAGGACTTTTAGCATCAGAGACTCTACTAAAGTTCTGAATGAATCCATCCAAACCAAAGGCTGGAGCTGGAGAGCTGGCTCAGTGGTGAGGATCACATGCTGTCCTTGCAGAGGGCCTAGGACCCACATCAGGCCGTCACAATCACTTAGAACTCTAGCTCTGGAGGGATCCCACATCTCTAGCCTCCAGGAGCCCCTGCACACACATGTGCAAATCCCCCCCCCTCCCGCCACCCCCCGCCACACAAAATTAAAACATTTTTCAAAACCAAACTCAAACACAACACTTAAATAGAAGGCTGATTAAGGCAGCGCCATAAAACAATCACCAAACAAGTTTTATTTAATTAAAAATATTATACATGTTGTTGCATTTTCATGGAAAATATTGAGTTAAAAAAAAACACAACAGTGTTAGTTTTCAGGAACTTTCATGTACCCATTCTACCTCCTGCTGATTTCTTCTTTCTGTGGTATAAACTTTGTGTTCTGTGAGGAGTACGGGCCCCAGTATTGGAGCTTCCCAGAAGACCAGACCTACAGGGCTCATGAATGAAACAGTTCCCAGAAAACAATGTTCTGTCAGGTTTACACAGACACCACCAGCTTTGGTTTCCTTGCAAATCACTGAAGAAAACAAAAACCAAAACAAAAAACCCCAGTGCTGAAGTCAACCCCAGTTGAGTACAACTGAGCACTGAGCTACAGCCTCATCCAATTTCCAAGCCAGTAAACCCAGGACCTTGTGTCCTTCCTGATCTATTAGTGTCCTGAGCTCCCCAACAAAACTTCCCCAGAACCCACTGTGGGAAGACACTGATATATAGTGTTTATATTCAAACCATCAACAAATACATAACAGCACATGAAACACCCAGGTATAATATCAGTTAAAAATACACGTTGGAACAATATAACCATTGGAATCACTGGCTATCACATAGCTGTGTGGACAAATTTTTAAATCTTCATGTAATTATACACTTGTTAAAAAAATAACAGCATGAAAATTTTAAAAATTATTTAAGTCAAACATCTCACAGGTAAATACAAGGTGTGGACAATATAACCCTATCTTTCATCCCCTTCCTTTCTTTGGACTGTGCCATTTCCTAATATTTCCCTGACCCCACGTCATAATGCTACATCCTTATGTTGCTTCTGAGTGATGCTTTCACTAAAATTGTTCTGACATAACAGAAATATCCCAGCACTCTGTTCTTGGTCCTTAGCTTTAAATTGTAGTATGCTTAATTTGAATTCTGCATCCAGTTTCATAGTAAGGAGGCACACTCTCCTTAAAATACACAACCGAGGAAAAATAGCTGGAGAGCGAAAAGAAAGTTGAAATTGCCTCAGCTTTTAGAGATTGAAATACAGTCTTTCTTCTTCACGAATGGCCTTTCAGTTGATAGGAATAAAATAAGGCTGAAATTGCTTTTCACATTCGGGCTCTGTTGGGGGCATTTTCACATAGACCCCTGTGGTAAGAGGACTTCTTTTCCTTAGCTGCCAAAACACAAAATGAAACCGCAATTATTAGCAAAGAACACAGAAGACACTTTTAACCATCATAGGGTTCAGTAAATATTGCAAAAGTAAACAGCCACAATAACATACAGAATTATAAACTCTGGGAGACTTTCTTGATTCAGCTCTTCAAATTCACCTAAGATAAATAATTGGGCAATTCAAATGCAAAATAACAACCATTTTCACAGAGTGGAAAGGAGAAAAAAAAAAAAGGCTTTGAGACAACTTCACCCAGAACACCCAAAATGCCCAAGATAATTGAGTAGATCTTGTCGGTGATAATCAATGTACTGTAAACATTTAAAGGTGGCTTTTGATATCCTGTTTTGAAGCTACATTTCTCACCTCCACTCCTCTTCTGCTTTTTATTGCTTTTTCCTTGGCTGCATTAGTTCCCAGGTTCTACCACCTCAACTTCAACAACTGATACCTGCTCAGCTAGCCTGAGTGCTAACTTCAGCACACATAAAAAGAAAAGACAGAACAACAGAACTGAGGATCAACAGTTGAAAATTTGTGTGTGTGTGTGTGTGTGTGTGTGTGTGTGTGTGTGTGTGTGTGTGTGACACAGGAGGAGAGACAGAAAATGACAGAGAGACCAAGGAGGAGAGAGAAGGAAAATGGAGGAGGAGGAAGACGAGGAAGAGGAGGAGAGGGAAAGGGAACACAAAGGATGTTTGTGGTAAGGAAAGCCAGCCTTACACAGCAGTGGCTGAGGTGGTCTGTTAGAAATCCTGACTGGCGACTTGATTCCATACTTCTCTCTTTTAAGTCCCAATATAGTAAATAAAAACCAGGACTTTCGTTCACTGAGCTAGGGAGGAGGTCCAGGCACTTTAGTAAGTAGCTAATATAATGGGAATGGGTATTATACAAGTAGCTACAGTTTGAACAAAGAAAGCACAAGGGTGGCACCAAGAGATGGTTTTCAGTGTAGAAACATTCAGGAGAAAGATAAAAATCCATCCAGGGGGTTCTAACTGGCAGCAGTTGCTCAACATAATCCTGTGTTCTAGGGTTACTAAGATTCGGGCCATAGCCATGATGGTGAAAACCAAAACAGCTGCCCCATGTTGTTCAAACAGTTACTCAAACTGAAACCCTACTCAGAAGCACACAAACATTCACTGTCAAATATGCTCACGTACAGTATTAGTCATCCCGAAACCTCAAAGGCCAGTGCATGGGGTTCTAGTGTGTTCTTTACCCTACCCTTCCTGCTCTGTTTATTGCTTCAACTCCACACCATCACTTGGTCAGTAGTACAGGGTACAACTAAATGTGTCCCCGCTAACTGTGGAGCAACATCAGCACCACACTCACCATTTTGCTCAAAGAAACAGCAGTGATCAGGAAACTGTAAAAAAACAATCCTGAACTAACGGCAGCAAGAATCCAAAGGAGGACATCAGAATCTGGGCATGGTTCTGGATCTGCAACAGAAAGCAGAAAAATAAACCTACTGAGGTAGTTTTCAATTCTGGGGTCCTACTTCCTCATGAGTGAAGAAAAAAGAAGAAAAGAAAGGAGAAGAAAAAAGAAAAGAGGGAGAGGGAGAAGAAGGAGGAAGAGGAGGAGAAGAAGGAGAAGGAGAAGGAGGAGGAGGAGGAGGAGGAGGAGGAGGAGGAGGAGGAGGAGGAGAAGGAGAAGGAGAAGGAGAAGGAGAAGGAGAAGGAGAAGGAGAAGGAGAAGGAGAAGGAGAAGGAGAAGGAGAAGGAGAAGGAGAA